TTCTAAGCCAGGTACCTTTATACCGAAGTGCCCCCCACTCACTTACCTGAGTTTGGTTACCCCGCTGGTTTCCCTAGAGTTCCCACAGGTGGGCATAGTGGCTGCCTCCCTAATTCTTCTATGTCCCACACATTTTCAAATTAGGTTCAGAAAACCTGTCTGCTATGGCCGAAACCAATACTAGCAGTTAGGGCTAACCATTAAACCACACAATTCCTGGTTCACCTGCTCTTACAAGGTTCATTCCAATTCCGATACCTACATTTACCTTCCTTCCGGTCCTTATACCGATCACTCTCAAACTTCCAAACCAGTTAGCCCGGATAGGTTGGTATATCTAGACTTTAAGCGTCTGATAGTTCCCTTCCTTTGGTTCCTAATTCTACAGCATAGGACCTTTTCCTCTGGTGCGACTCTGGCGGCCAGGTTGGTGAACCCTTTTTGCCCCAGGGTTATTCGTTCAGTTCTTCGGTTTCTGGTTTCTGGGCTTCCGGCTTCTGCAGTATCGTCGAAGATCTTCACTACTTCCTTGCTTGGGTCTTTCCAAATAGGTTTCAATTATTCCGGTTCCTTGGCTTTATCTGTGTGATGTCATACAACTTCGCCCGAAAGCTCTCATTCAAGATGGTGGTACCAAGGTTACAGGTAGTACACCCAACCGATCGTCAAATAAATGTTACCGAAACAAATCTTATTTTTCAAAATCGTCGTCAGTAGGATTTGAACTCTAGACCTGCCATTTGGAGGGTGACAACTTACCAACTTCACTAAGTTGCTACACCCATATCGATAATTTAAAAATAAATACTGCTATTTTGTAATTCTTATTTTCAAATATTAGTATATAAATTTTTTTAAAAATTTTAATATTTAATAAAATTAGATCAGATATAACTGTTTTTAAATTTTAGCATTCAAATTTGATCACTAAACCTGATAGTTTAAGGGATACAATATATATTAAATATAAGGTTCTAATAAATTTTAATTTCAGTTTTTATAAAGTTTTCAAAGGCACTGAACATTTTTACTTAGAGTATCTACACCTATTTACTTAGTACGTTTTTGAGATATAGTATAAAGTGTTATATAATACAGTGTTATAAATACAACTTTTTATAAATATTTTATTTTATAAATTTATAATTATGCTTTTTGGTATTTCATATTAAGGTTTATTAGTTGACAAGAATAATTTATTATAAATATCTGTACAAACTAAATACACTAACTAAGTATTCAAACAAAACTTTAATAATGTTGAATATATTAATATTATAAAGATAAAATTATCTGTAAAATAAGTATAATATTATATATAATATAAAAAAAAGAAAATAACTATGATTAACCAGAGGTGAAGTTCACTAGTTACACAGATCAACATATATAACATGTATAAAAGCATATACTGTAGATAAGTATTTTTTTTTGAATTTGGATTTTTATTTTTATTTATTTATTTTTTTTATATTAATCAACTTTCTTTTATAGCATTACCTTTTGTCATTATTGGTGTTATCATTAGTGTCGTCTCGTCGTTGGTATCACTGTTAGTATCACGCTAGTATCATATGAGTGTTACATTGATATTAAACATTGGAATCATGTCTCTCTTCATCGTTTGTTGGTGCTTCTTTTTGTTGTTGGTGTCATGTCTCTTTTCGTCATTTGTTGGTGCATCTTTCATTATTGGTGTCATATCCCTTTTCGTCATTTGTTAGTGCTTCTTTTCATCATTGGTGTTGGTTCCCTTTTCATCATTTGTTGGCGCTTCTTTTCGTCATTGGTGTCATGTCACTTTTCATCATTTGTTGGAAATTCTTTTTGTCATTAGTGTCATGTTCCTTTTTATTGTCTGTTAATACTTCTTTTAGTCATTAGCATTAGTTCTCTTTTCATTGTTTGTTGGTGTTTTCTCTTTGTTATTTGTTGGTGCTTTTTTCATCACTTGCTGGTATTTTTAATTAGTCATTGACTGTACATTTTCGTGTTGTATTGCAATAGTCATTCATTAGTATTGGTTGTGTTCCATTTCACAGGTATCATCATTATGTTAGATTAGCAATTAAGGTGTTAAAATTAGTGGTTATTAACTAGTGTATTATTAACTGGTGCATTAGTTACACATTGGTGATCGATCTATGATATATGCAAGATTATTTTGATGAATGTAAGTAATCAGAGATTCAATTTATATAAATAAATATTCTGCTAAGCAGTTAAAATTTCTTTAAATGATTAACTCTAGTAAAGATGGAAATATTATCGATTTAGTCTTATTAAATAGAGACACAGGTGTATTAAAAGTGATAAATGGTTAGAATCTTATTGAACTATAAAAGCAAATGATGCGTATATGTTAAAAGTGAAGGCAAAAGTAGGAGAAAATAAAAGTAAGTATAAGGGAATGCCTTTGAGCAGATTTATAACTGCATGATATTAATTAACTTACATCATTTTTTAATTATAGAATTATTTAATAATGCCGAATCTATTTGTGTTGTAACTACAAAGCCGTAAATAAAGAGTCAAATGAATCGTTAAATGAAGTAATGACCGATAATTATCAAGATAGCATAAGTCATGAACTCATATTTGACACAGACTCTTCGGCTGAAGAATCAGATGATTCTTCATTTAAAATAACTTTGGGTTAGGCATTTTATTTGTTATTACATAGTAAATTTCCTGAAGACAGGTTTCATTTTTGCTAATAAATTTAACATCATTCTTTTTCAATAACTTTAGGCCAGTCTTTTGACACTTGGAAAGATGCTGAAAATTTTTTAAATCAGTATAGATTAGAGAAAGGTTTTAGCATTCATAGAAGTTGTAATGAAATACAAATAGAAAATAGTAATAAGGTTTTATGTAAGTTTAGCTAGAAGTGTAGTTGTGCAAAGAAGTATCAGGCAAAAAAGGTATTGAATCTGAATAAACAAAGAAACTGACATTCTAAAGCAAAAGGTTGTAATTAGAGAGTAAACAGAAATTTTTCAAAAAATATATCACTAATTACTTTCATCACCATTGTGGATAAGCATAATCATACGATAATACTTTCGCCCACAACTAACATTGCTAAATATTAGAAGCTTGGTGATAATATGATTGAATTTATTGAATTTTGCATACATTATGGTGTAACTAATGTACAGAATATTAAATGTTTTTTAAAAAGAAAGTTTCCTAGAAGAAAAGTTTATCAAAAGGGTTTTTATAATTTAATCTAAGTGGCAAAAAAAAAATTAGTAATACAGGTTGAATTTGACATATCAGATTTTATGAAACATTTATATTCTCAACAAGTTGAGGATTTATGTTGGTTTGTAAAGGCAAAATTTGAGAAGGAGAAACGTAGACTGTGTGAATTGGTATGGTTGTCGCCTAAGCAACAAAATCTATAGACCTGCTATCATAATATTCTTTTTTTTGATACAACATCTTGTACTAATAAGTTCAACATGATGGCTTGTTTCTTTATTGTAATCAACAATTGTAATCGAATATAACTTGTTGCAACCACATTACTTGAAGATGAAACAGAGTCTAGTTTTGCCTGGGTGTTAAATACGATTAAAAAGTGCATGAAAAATTTAACACCAAAAGTCGTATTCACGGATTCTGATCTGGCGATGATTAATGTAATAAATTTAGAATTTTCAGATACTATTCATTGTTTATATATATTTCACATCGACCTTAACTTAAAAAAAATCTATAAATTCTATATATAAAATAACTAACTCTTTCCGACGATCACTTGTACCAAATTTTCTCTAAAAACAATCACTCTATTCTCTAAATTTTACTAAGTA